GTTAAAACTCCATGATTAAATTCCGTACCAAAAGCATTAAGTGAGGAACTATATTTTGTGGCGGAAGGTTTTTTAGAAGAAAATGATCATTTTTTTCTCTTTCGAAGTATTTGAAGTATGTTAAGTTTGGATTCCTATTTTTACATGCAGTCTGCACACAGAATTATTTTGAGCAGTGAACTGTTTTATACTGGTCCTAAATTAGATATTTAATAAACTGTCATGAATTCAATCATCATATTTGATAAATAAATCAAATATATTGTGAAAATCAAGAGAAAAAATAGCCCTAATTTAAGCTCAAAATTAGCACTATTTTAGTAATATCTAAAAATTAACATCACAGACCCCCACTTTTAACTTTCTTTTCTCAATATACAAGATACTTTTAATCATTCTTCTTAAATTCAGTGAAATGACATTACTTTTAAATGAGTTTTTTTCTTGGTAAATTTTTAATGCTAGCAAAATGAAATTTTTTGAGTGCAAAAAGGTCAAAAAATGGAACGTGCGGAGTACTTTAAAATTTTTTTTCGTTGTCAAAAATTTTAATGGGTCTATTCAAGATGAAATAAAACTGTGTTTGTTCCCATAACTTATTTGAATAAAAAATATCGGAGGAAAAACGTAAAAAATTGATTTATGTGTAAGACGTTTTTACAGTGCAAAAAGGTCAAACTAAATGCTCTGTAGCGCCAAAAGAAGCGCATTGACCCCCATTTTTTGTTTTGGTTTTTAATTAAGCTATGTGTATAAATTCTAAAAATATACTTGATAAAAAATTCTCATTACTTTTGATGTCAGGATCCAACCTCCTTAATAGAATCCTTGGGTTCTTGAAAACAGTTAACCATGGAAATGTGTAATAAATACATATATCGTCTTTAAAATTTATTCCTTATTTCATTGAATGTATCAGAAGTGTAAATGGAAACTAAGGATGAACCAGTTGATTACTTCACTCAAGTTTCAAGTAGGGATGTGCGATTTTATCGGTATACCGGTATATCGCGATTTTTTATTGCGTGATAGGTATCGTGATACGGAGACTAAAATACCGGTATTTGGTACATAACTATAAATTCCGGAAATTTGTCATTTATTTGTTCAAACTATGGAATGACAATTACAGGAAGTGTAAAAAAAATGTTGAAAACAGTTAAACAACGGCATCCAAACAAGCTTTATATTAAATTAATAAAAATTTAAAAAGTAAAGTTATGTTTTTATAGCATATTTTTAAGAAATATTTTGGAGATTCATTTGAAATTGTAGTAAAAATTGTGTGTAAAAATATCCCGATTTATCGTGATATTTGTGGGAAAAAATCGTGATATATCACGATACGAAATTTTTGCCGATACCCATCCCTAGTTTCAAGACATAAATCCTTTTGAAGATATCTGGACAGCATTGAAATTTTAAATGCGTATATGTCAAAAGGGTCTAAATACTACAATCCTTGGGTTCTTAAAACTCAATTACCATATAAATCATCATTAAATTATCGAACGTGATGGAAATTCTAATGGAAACTTTAAGGATGAACCATTGGGTCACTCCACCTGAGTCTTAAGACATGAAAACAATGTGTACATTTGTAAATACCTTCCTCACCATCGCTGATTTAGTATGTTTCTGATACTACAGCAATTGACTTTGTCAGTGATCAAGGATTAATATACATGTAATTTTAAACTTAACAAACAATGATTGACAGTGTTTCTTAAGTTCCTAAAACCACTACATTTTATATACAATATTAAAATGTGCCAAGCAATTGACAAGCATAGAATTAATTTGTTTTAATTTTCCTCTTTGAAGTGATTTTATGCACTAGACTCGATTCCCTTTAATGACAATGTAAAGCTGGTTTAACAAAAGTGATTCACCAATAAAATGTTTCAACAGTATTGCTAATTGAAAATAAATTCATGCATTTGGCCCCAGGATCATGAAACGGACTAAGACTTAAGTCAGATTTTCAACGGCCTGTAATTTGGTTATTAATTATTGAATTTATCTCTAATTTTGCATGTAACAACACTTTTTTAAAGCAGTATTGAAAAATATTCTAATTTTGGTCTGCTTGACGACTACATCTTAGTAAAAAAATGATTTTGACTTAAGCGTAAGATGTTTTATGATCACGGGGCCTAACCCATCCTGAGGTAAAAAAAAAAAAAAGCGGGGGGGGGGGGTGCAAAGTTTCATTCTTAATGTAAATCATGAAAGTAATATCGGTTTGCTCATCGTAAAATTTTCATTTTAGATCATGAACTGATGAAGTCGAACGCCTGAATTTAATATACTCATACGGACGAAAAATTTTTGATCAGAAAAGTTCACCTGAGCATTTGACTTCGGTAAGACAAAAATGCTCAATATCGTGAATTGAGAAAAGCAAGTTTTATTTAAATTTCATCATCGAAAAGGCAATTCCTATGTATTATACATGATGTTCAATACGCCAATATATAAATTGTGCGGTATGCTATTACATGATTCTATTTTCCCTTTTTGGTCGCTTTTTACTCAAACATTTCACTCAGATTTCACTGCATAAACACATTGCTCTTTTAAATGTTTGGCAGAAGTTAAATTCCAATGAGAACATCCATAATTACAACGTATTTAATTTTTGCCATATGGAAAAAAAAAATGTTCATCTTTTGATAGTAACAGTAATCATCACCATTTTCATAATTCAATATGCTAACGTATATTGCGATTGAATAATTTAATTATATATCAATTTTCAGAAAAATTCAATCTGATGTACACCTTGTAGTTCAGAGAATGCTTCCATTTTAATCCTGAGTGATCGTATTATTGTAAGAAATCTAGATTATCGATTATTACATATTCCTACAACTTAAGCGTCTGCAGAATATTTGTAATTAAGTAATCTATCATTCAATCAATCTCTCTCTCTATATATATATCTTGACGATGTTGAAAAGGGTGATAAAAAGTTTTTAAACGAAATTTCTTTCGATCAAATTGAAACCAAAAAAGAAATATCTTGTAGGCGGTAGATTAAAGCTTTTATTATTATCTTTATCTAAATCTGATATTTTATTTTTGTTTTGCATTTTCTTTATTAAACGATTAGAAAAATATTCTGTGACGATAATATTTTTGAATTCTCGGTATTGTTTGCAATTTGTGGTTGAAATTATCATAAAATTTTACCCCACCCTATAAATTTGCAACTACAAAATGAAGAAAGCAAAAATTCTGCAAAACCTTAGCTGTTAAAGATGATATTTGTGTGATTAAACTTGCAACGCAGAAAAACAATTGTTTTAAGCATAACAATTATTAACTCTTTAGTCTTCATGAATTTTAAAACATTTCCACAATTTAAGAATTTAGTTTGTGTCCTAATCAGTTTGGTCAAAACAAGCGTCTCCGCCCTTGTGGGGGATGTAATCTAGCGGAAGAGGCACGTCAGGGACCCTTCATAAGCAGACTACACTGTCATATCCCAGTAGTTATAACGACTTGTTATCGGAATGCAGACAGTTTCATTTAAACCACATTATCAGGTATAACAGGCCTTTAATAGTATATTGATCTGTTTGCATTTGAGAATAATACTGAGGTTATCTCCCATTGGACGAATTAACGTATCTCTTCGAAGAGGATAGAGGACCTCCAGGCAGACGACATACGGTATGTTTTAAATTTGTTAATGATAATTTGTAATATTAGAAATGTATTCCATTTATGTCATTGAAATTAAAATAAGTATACAGTGGCCTTTCGCAAAGTACTGCTTCAATGAGAAGAATTTTTAAAAAATACAATATGAAAAAGTGCAGTTTTAAATTTTTATATTAAATTGTTTGATGTTGCATGTCATATATGTTTTTATGTGTACGAATGCATGAAGAATTATGTTTAAAAATTGTGATCTTTTGAAACTTATAACATTTCGTAATAATACTGTTAAAAAAGGAAACAACCAGAATGATAGAAGAGTTATTAAGACAAATTCATACACTGGAATTCTTCGTTAGTATAATCATTAAATCATCGAATTTCTATCGTTATTCCCATAGTCAGTATAAGAAATTAGTACTATTAAAATGTACATTTATTTCAACCTCGTCCTTTTGTGCACATAGCTTTATTGAGAAACCGATTTACAATTATTTGATCTAATACCAATATCACACGTTGAATTTGACGCTTGATAATTATCAGAAATCAAAATCAACATGATCTCGAATAATGCTAGTTCTGTCCCCAATTCACCCATCGCTGAAACAAGATGAAGAAACTGATAAATGGACTATTCGACTTTTAGTTCACATAACACGCGGTTTGGTCTTAAATCACCCCAACAAACCGTAAATCACATTGGCTGAGAAGCCTTACCAGGTATCTCTCTTAATAATCAGCTCGATGGCGACGAAATCGCATTCATTTTGATATAATGCAGAGACCTTTATTAAACTCGCGTGATGAGATTTAATATCTATATATTAATTTCCTAATATTGAAGTAACGTGGTTTCTCCGAATTCTGTTTTGCAGAAATTTTATGAATCCATTCATCTCGGGAGATTCCCTGTCGGTTGCAACGTGAACAGATTTCATTTTCTGTACCAAAACACCATTATCTGGCTTAATGGTATCAGACTATTAATCTAGATTATGTTCGTGCACGATTTCTCTTTTCCAGATATCATAATTATAACTATTAACAACAGTCCCTACCTGCCTTAAAGCATAAATTACACTTAATGCATAAATAATACCACTGACGCAAGTTTTAATTGGTGTATATTCTAATCTATTTCATGTTTTGCAAATATCTACTCGAAAAGAAGTCGGCAACTTACGCATGTAAAAAAAGATTTTAAAAAATAATGCAACTCACAACCTTGAGATTAATCACTTAAAGCTACTTTACTATTGTTTAAAAAAAAAATAACTTTAAAAAGAGGATTGCAAAATTACTATAACTTATATATTGTTATTTCAGAAAACAGCCATGGGGGCGGAATTAATTTTGGTGCTGGCCATAATATCAGGTGTAAATGCCGTAAATTTGGACAGTATTACATCTTGTTTAGTCAGAGAATACAATTTATTTGCTCAGAAACCCCACATCACATCCCTTGGCGAGATATTAGAGTGTTCTGGTTACATCAAAGTCAATTCCTGCTGGGGACGGTGTGATTCAAGCGAGGTATACAAACTGTCATTATTTTTTCCTGATATACTCAAAAATTATTTTTCACAATGTTCTATTTGGTTGAAAAAAAATACTTAAAAGGTGCTAGTTTTATGGTAAGAAATCAATAGTGGAAATACAGAATGCTCTTTTTCTTGTAAATGTTTATGACAAGATAACTACAAAAAAATAATTTCGATCGGTTGATGAAAATAAATGTTTTAAACATTATTATTGTTACAGTGTAGTTAGAAGGCTGTGGTATTGCCAGTCAAAAATATTTTTTAAAAGTATCGGTTTTCATGCCGTGCTTGTCTCTATAGAATTTTTAACAATTACTGGTACTTCTCTGGTATATGAATTATGATAAGCAAAAATCAGTAAAGAGAAGTTCAGTATATTACGTGTACTTCAATTCATGTTGATTTATCTTTTCAAACTTTGAAAGTTTATAAATATGCAAAATGAGAAATTAAAATCAAAAATATAATGTCCGTCCTGTTATTTTAACAACTACTAATGCACCGATTGCTACTTAAATTGAGTTGTAAAATGCAGTTTTTAAAACAAGGTGCTTTATATTTGGTGTAAATACTGATGTAGTTTGATTCATGAGGTATTCCGAAGCAATCAATCTTTAAAATGTACCTAATGATGTTTAAATGAGCTAATACACGTTTAATTTCTCTTTTGAAACAGATAGCGGATTATAAAATACCATTTAAGATTAGTAACCATCCAGTGTGTACATATGCAAGAGTTCAGAAGCGGCGCGTGCGCCTTCCAAATTGTCACCCCGAACATCCGGACCCGTATTATGTCGTGTTTGACGCCTTGGCGTGTTCGTGTCGCTATTGCAATTCAAAGTACACAAGTTGTGAAACTCTTAATGGATAATCTTATCAAGGCTTAATTCTTACATCAGGAACGTCTGTCCAAACATGGAAAGAGGAACACCCCCATTGACTCACTTAGTGTGATACTACGTGCTTGATCCTACAAAACGTCATTAGAAGTGTACGAAACATGATCGTCCGTCCAAACACTTTCATTAATTCCTGACATGGGAAAAAGTTTGTATACAAATAAAGTGAATAGATGTTTTGGGTAGATTACAAACAGTGCAATCTATTTATTGACTTTTGTGTGTATTTATTGACATTTTATGCATTGATATTTGAATCTCCTATCTTAATGAATAAATTGTTCTTTGATACTGTATTCAGCTTAATTGTGTTGTTAATAAAACATTCTATTTTATGGCATTTTGGTGTGTTTTATGAGGGAAAAAAAGAAGATATTAATGAGTATAGGTGATACAAATAAATATGTCGAATACGGGATTTAAAAACAAACCCAATTACCCCAGCTTGTTAGGTTGATTGAGCCTTTCCCATTAAAATTTAATCAGTGTCTGTCAGGCCCATCATGTTTCTCAAATTGTGTTATGGCCGTTACCAAAGTTGACACCATAACTATACGTTTGGTGCTGTTAAGAAATAGCCATAATGATCACTTGAATCTATATACTACAAAGTATTTGGAAACCATGGTTTCGAGGAACGGTTGAGAGTCTACTTGCCAATCCTGGCTTCAGATATCTCGTATAATGACCTGACAAGTGTCCAACTGCCGTAAAAAGCTGTCAGAAACTTAAAGGGTCCCCAGCTTCAATAAATGCAAAACAGTGTTTTATGTTGTTTTTCCCCCCGTCAGTTCTAACTTCGTTACATTGTACTTGTTTAAAGAAAATTACTTGCAAACTACAGTAAAATAATGGACCGTTAAAATTCCTGACACTATGTAAAAGTCCATTGTAAACTTACAATTTGATGTGTTCAGCAGACAATGGAATTTTAATATGATTTTTATACATTTCTTCTTAGTGATTTTAGAAAGAAGGTAAACTATGAGAAAAAAGATATTTTTAAGAAGGGGGGGGGGGGCAAAACCCCGACTGCGTCCGTTTCCAAACTACATATATATAAGACCTTATTGACATTTCTTAGGTCAAGGTGATTCATAAAATACAGAAGTTATTGCCTTAAAAGAACATTTGAAGAGCGATTTAATTTGTCAAAATACGCATCTGATGCATCAAAATTGGTACCGTATAAGATTTATATTATGACCCCTGGGGAGGGCTGTTAGTTCCCGAGGGTCTCTACAGCCCAGTGGCTATGTACTTCGGTACTTGCTTGAAAATACGGAATATGTATTCAATTGCTATGGTAAAATTTAGAAATTTATTTCAAAGCTTAGGATTATCTTCCACATGCTTTGACGTATTTGACTCAATTCTTTGGCACCCCTTTTTAAGTTCTTAAATTTTTTTTGATAATATAAATATTTCGGATTTCCAACGTTTCGGCATGAGCATCACTGGAGAGACATAATTTGTCGAAATACGTATCTGGTGCATCAAAATTGTTATATATATATATATATATATATATATATATATATATATATATATATATATATATATATATATAAAAGCTCTGTGAATATATGGATAGATTTTTGATATGATGATAATAATGAAACAAGGGAAAATACAAAACAAAAACTTTAAACGAGATTGTGTTTTTTACTTGTTTCATCAACTTATTTATCACTAGCCTGCCTCGTTTTAGAAATCGTTCGTGCGTAGAACATGCTCTTGCGTATCGAATCAACTGGGAGAAGTAAAATCCATATGCAGGTGATAATGGTTTATTGCTACTTAAGGGAAGTAACAGAAAAACCGAAGTAATTACGTTTATCATATAGTTTAGTTGTTAGTTTGCCATCAGTGTTTTCTCTAGTAAAACATCCACGTGTTAGACTGTGGTGTCTTTATTTCGAGTTTCTTGGAATATATCGAATCAACCTGTGAATGAAATTGATATAAGGTAGTCGATATATCTAAATGGCGAAGACTTCGGCAAGAGACCTATCTTTTCTTGTAGAAGTTCTTGAATAAATTTTGCTTCATATGAAAACAAAAGTCTCTTAATGACGGTGCACAATAAGAACCCATGAAAATTCCAACACATTGTTGGAAGACCTGGTCTCCGAAAACTACATAGACATTGTTAATGAACAAATAAGAAACGCAAGCATCCTTTTAATATCAACCTCGGAGTACCTGTTTGCAGAATAGGAATGTTTTCTACCAAACAGATGACCAATGAAAAAGTATGCAAATACGAGTTCCATACTTATTATACTATGTCGTTGTACAATATTTCTCCTTCACTGCTGTTAATATTTTCCTGAGGAGTAAATTATGAAGCTTCGTAGAACATTTACTAGAATCCGCCATGAATCTTTGTTTCCAAGGCTATTTTTTTTTAATGAAGTTTAGGAATCCACTGTCAGTATGGAAATTAAAACTCAATTTGATTGCAGGGAATACTAAAAATGTTAAAAAACTTAAACTATTTAATTTTGAAGAATTTCCTCTTTAGAAAGGAAACTATTAGTTTAAGTTGGATTACCACTTGAAGAATTCAAAGTTAGTACAACTGTAACAATGAGCCTAAACAAAGACTATGTTGTTATCTGCTTTGTAAGCTGGACTAGTACATACTGATCGTGTAACCTATCGAATTCTTTTTCACTACTGAATTATTGAAGACAGAAGGATAGATGGTTTTCATATTGCCCCTCAAGCGTTTAACACGAGATTTCAACATCTTATACTTTAATCCATTCTGACAAAGTGCCAAGGTTTTCTTCATATTTGATCAATCGTTTGGGATAATCTTCGACAGAATTCATAATATTTATGAACATTTTAGCCAGTTGAAAAATCGGGCTTCCCTAAATTTTGGTCCTTTTTAAATAAGTGAATTCAGTAATGATGTGTTCCAGCAGAATTATAGCTGTAGGGAGAAGATCTAAAAGAAAATTGAGGAGGATTATGTTTCAGATGTTCGATATCTGGGCAATGAGAAGGATAAAATGAACATTTCTTACAGGGTATCTGTTCCACAAACGTGCAGAAACCCATCCATCTCACCAAATCTGAACCACAGTTTAGGTAACGGAAGGATTTGTTTAATCCACCAGTTTTAATGGCCGTAATCAGTCAGGACTTCTCCACAATAGACAGGATCATATGTCCAATGATCAATTCTCTCAACAGAAAAAAGTAAAATAACTCCAAGTTACTTCGAACAGTCTGAGCACACTATATTTCAAACTGGGAATTATCCTTCGCTTATTTGTTCAAATAGATTAGGTATGTCTGCTTGCTAATCCTTGTAAATTATCGCCTACAATCTAACGCTGCAGTGTCTGAGTCGCAAATTATTCTTACAGTACTTTTGACCTCATTTAGGTCTTTCCTGAATTATTAACTGTTCTGTTGTAAAATTAAAGGTGATCAATTAGTTACCATCAAATTTCGTCCTCATGCATTCCTATGCTTTGGCTTTATTTATGTATTAATAAATAAAAATTATGTAAGTAAAAAATCGAGATCGGTATCTTTAAGGATTACACATTTCATCATTCTGAAAACACCTACTTGTACGAAGCACTATTTTAATAGTTCCGCAAGCGTAGTTTCCGCAGGAGTATATATAGGAATCACCTTGTCAGTGTCCGTCCATCCAATCCTTGTCCGGGCTATAACTTAATGGAGAATCATTGGTAGATCATACTTGCTTTGGTACAAAGATAGATTATGAACTGAAGGTGTGTCATGACCTTGAGCAAGGCCATTCCGGCAATTTCAAGTCACTGGCAGAAATAAAATATTGAAAAATATACGGTTTACGATATCTTTATAGAGAAACATTATTTGGAAGTTCAAATGTTATTCGTGTCCTGTTAATAACTTTATACTTGACACAAAAATTCCATCTGATTTACGGGTGCGTCGTGATCTAGCCAAGGTCATTTTGGAAACTTTAAGGTCTCTGGCTGAAATTTTTGTTCGGTCTACAACCTCTTTAAAAATACAGCTTTGAAATTCATATTTCAAACAAGATTGCTTATGACCCGAAGTCATGTCATTTCTTTACTGTTAAGATCATTTGAACACGTTCAAGGTCACTAATAGAAAAAAAAGTTTAATTTTTTGTCCTAACCACATCTTGTAGTGAAGAACATAAGAGCATCATACTTATCACGTATACTCATATAATCAAAGGGTCTGTATTGCTTGCACCTGAGTAAAATACAACACTGCAGAGGATCTATTTTGTATATCTGTATTGTATGCATTCTAGCAAGAGGCCAACATTTATTTTTCGTATCTTGCCTGTAACTTTTCAATGGAGTCTAATTGAAAGTTGATACTGACACAAAGATTGCTTATGACGTTAGGGTGCATCTTGATTTAGCCAAGGTCATTTTTGCAACTTCAAGGTCTCCGATAGAAAAAAAAATTGTGAATTCATGCATGTCTGATCGATAACTTTCTAATGAATAAACAAACATTGGATTTATACTTCACACAACTATTACTTATGTCTCGAAGGTTTGTAGTCTTGATGGTACATTCATATACATGTAGTATATAATGACTTTGACCCAAGGTCATTCCGGCAAATTCAAGGTCGTCACTGACCAAAAAAAGTATAGAATTTTGATGGAAGTGGAAACTTCATGGAATATGTATGTCATATCATTAACCCAAGGCAAGTTTACGGTCACTGGCAGAAAGAGACTGTAAATTCATGCCAGGTCCAACAATTTCGTGTAAATGAAATATATGGAGATAATTTCATGCGGGGTTAACAAATTTCGAACTTTTCAAATATCATAGATTACTTCTGACCAGAATTTTGTTTTTCTGTCTTTTTTTTTTTTTCTTTTTTTTAGGCCAAGGTCACTTTTTTTTTAATTTCCAGATCGAATTTACAATAAAAAAAAATGCGAATTGGAACTTTTGGTATTTTTGTGAGTTCACTCCCTTTTGATAATAGAATCGTATTTACTGGGGGAAAAAAAGATGTTTTGAGTTGATTTTTTTTTTTTTTTTGGCCAAGGTCACTTTTTTTTAATTTCCAGGTCGAATTTACAAAAAAAAATAAATAAATAAATAAAAATAAAATGCGAATTGGAACTTTTGGCATTTTTGTGAGTTCACTCCCTTTTGATAATAGAATCGTATTTACTGAAAAAAAAATGTTTTGAGTTGAAATTTGTTTCGACAACATCACTACTA